GTCTATTCCCCTACCGCTCTGCCCCTCTCCCACCCCCGCCGCTCTTCCTTACTCTAGGCCCCCCTCCTGTAGACCCCCTCCCCCCTCAGAGTCCTGCTCCCTCAGGTGTGTCTCAGGTAGACCCACTCCCTGGTACTGTGCCTGTTGAGGTCGCTGTAGACTCAGGTGCTGCTAGGGGTGTTGCGTCTGGGGGTGGTGAGCCTGCGCGTGCAAAGCCTGGGGGTGCTGAGCCTGCGGGTGCGGAGCATGGGGTTGCTGAGTCTGAGGGTGCGGAGTCTGGGGGTGTTGAGCCTAGGGGTACTGCTTCTTCTGGAGGTCCTGCGGGTGCCTTGCCACGACTGTCTCCCCGGCCGGAGCCTCTCCCCGCAGCAGCTGCGCGAGTGGTTTGCTCGGCGGACACGCCTTCGGAGTGGAGCTGCCGGAGTTGGAGACTCTGCCGCTGGAGGCACTGGAGCTGGAGGTTCTGGAGCTACTCGTCTTGGAGGTGCTGGAGTTCCTGCTGGAGCTGGAGGTCCCGGAGGTGCTTGAGCTGCTGGTCCTGGAGGTGCTCGTACTAGGGGTACTGGAGCTGCCGAGGCTGGTGGAGCTGGAGGAGCTGGAGCTGGAGACCCTGGCGCTGGTGGCACTGGAGCTGGAGGCACTAGAGCTGTTGACCCTGGAGCTAGGGGTACTGGAGCTGCTGGGGCTGGTGGTGTTGGAGGCGCTAGCGCTGGAGGCACTGGAGCTGGAGGCGTTGGAGCTGTTGACCCTGGCGCTGGAGGTGCTGGTGCTGTGGGTACTACGTCAGGTTCTTAGGCAGCGCCAGCGGCGCCCGTATTTCGTTCCGCCGCCACCGCCGTCTCTGCCGCCACCCGACTCGGTCCTTCGCCAGGTTCTTAGTCTCCCGTCTTCTACTGGCCTTCCTCCTCGCTTACTAGGTCCACCGCCTAGCCACTCGTAGCCTCAGTTCCAGCCAGACTCCCCACTGCCTGCCCCTTCTCCCTACGCTAAGCAGACAGAATCTTTTACAGAGCGTCGTGAGCCCGAGTCTCGTCCTACCTCACCTGTTCGCGCTGTTCGCACTGGTCGTTGGGTTCCTCGTCCGCGTCCTCCTCCTGTCCCCGGCACTCACGTTATGGCACTTCTTCCTTCCTCTGTTCCACTGCGCGTTCCTCTGCCGCCTCCTCCTGCGTCCTCTCTTCCTACCATTCCTGACCCTAAGTCTGACCTAGCTCGTGCTGCCAGTCCTACTATCACTCGTCTTCTAGCCACTGTTGTCACTGACCCTTCGTTTGAGTCCACTGCTGCGTCTGCCCTAGTTGCTGAGCTTGTTGACTTTGGTGCCGCCTGTCGTCTCGACTATGCCACTAGTCTTGTTGCTGAGTCTGAGTCTGACTGTCCTCCGTCCGTCAGGGGTGAGTGTGCTCTTGGCACGGACGTCCTTGAGGACAGGCAGGAGGACTTTGAGTGCCTTGCATCTGCTGTACCTCATCTCGTTGCCATCCTATTTGCCCCTGAGGGAGACCCGGATGCACCAGACATCCCGACCCCGCGCTCTTACGCAGAGGCGATTACGGGTCCCTACTCCTCTTAGTGGCAGAACGCCATGGACGCAGGGATGGCATCCTGGAAGTCCACAGGCACCTACGCTGACGCAGTTCCCCCTTCTCGGGCGAACATAGTCGATGGCATGTGGATTTTCAGGGTGAAGCGGCCGCCGGGTTCTCCGCCTGTCTTCAAGGCTCGTTACGTTGCACGAGGCTTCAGTTAGCGACAGGGAGTTGAGTTCTTCCATACCTTCTCCCCTACCCCGAAGATGACCACTCTTCGGGTGTTGCTGCACGTCGCAGCTCAGCGTGACTACGAGCTACAGTCTCTTGACTTCAGCACAGCTTTCTTGCAGGGCAGCCTGCACGAGGAGATCTGGCTACGCCGCCCACCTGGCTTCACTGGGTCGTTTCTTGCAGGTACCCAGTGGAGCCTCTGGCGGCCAGTCTACGGTCTCCGCCAGGCGCCTCGCGAGTGGCATGACACACTGAGGACGACGCTTGCGGCTCTTGGGTTTGCTCCTTCTACTGCTGACCCATCGCTTTTTCTACGCATCGACACTTCGCTGCCGCCGTTCTACGTCCTCGTCTATGTCGACGACTTGGTCTTTGCCACTGCTGACACTGAGGCACTGGCCCTTGTGAAGTCGGAGCTGTAGAAGAGACACACCTGCACTGACCTGGGTGAGCTGCGCAGCTATCTTGGCTTGCAGATCACCCAGGACAGAGCACGGCGCACCATCACCCTGACTCAGTCACACATGGTGCACCAGGTCCTTCAGCGCTTCGGCTTCCGGTACTCCTCGCCACAATCCACTCCTCTGCCTACCGGTCACTTGCTCTCAGCTCCACCTTCGGACGAGTCCGTAGAGCCGAGTGGCCCATATCTAGAGCTTGTGGGCTGCCTCATGTACCTGATGACCTGCATTCGACCTGACCTTGCCTACCCTCTTAGCATCCTGGCACGCTACGTTGCGCCCGGGAGACACCAACCAGAGCACTGGGAGGTCGCTAAGAGGGTGTTGCGCTACTTGTGCAGTACATCGGGCATGGGGCTCGTGCTTGGAGGACGGGGTCCAATTCTCCTCACTGGACACGCAGACGCTTCTTGGGTTGACGACTTGGCTACGCTGCGGTCGTCACAGGGTTACACTTTCAGCCTTGGCTCCGGCTCTATTTCTTGGCGGTCTACCCGCTCGTCTTCTGTTCTTAGTTACAGTTGTGAGGCTGATATCTACGCACGGGCCATGGCTGCACAGGAGTTACGCTGGCTCACCTACCTGTTGACCGACTTGGGAGAGCGGCCTCGTTTTTCTCCAGTTTTGTACGTAGACAACAAGGCCATGATTGCCTTGTGTCGGGAGCACAGACTGGAGCACAGAACGAAGCACATCGCTCTGCGTTACTTCCTTGCTCGAGATTTGCAGCAGCGTGGTCAGCTTCGTCTTGCTTACGTGGCCACTAGGGCCAACACTGCTAATATATTCACCAAGGCATTTCAGTCTGGTGATCATCAGCGTTTCTGTACTGTTTTAGGCCTTGTGCCTACTTTGCCTCACTTGCTCAGTGCGTGACTTTGCTTGTACTGTGATCCTTATATATACCTGCATGCTTACACTTGCTAGGGTGTGATCACTATACTGTTTGTTCTTCTGTTATATAACTCTGCATGTGAACTGGCCTTGTGGCCATTTTCTTGTGCTCGGAATGTGTGGTGACTTCGTGATCCACCCTGAGCTTGCTTTGCTTTTCTTGACTGGTCTTGTGACCAGTTGTTCTCCCCCACTTAGCCTATGGGGGTGTGTCAAAATGTTACATTGCTTACTTTGTGTAGGCTATAGTACGGTAGCCCATAAGGGGTACAACCCAATTAGGGTTAATACTTGTACCAAACTCTTTCATAGTTCATTCATTCTCGTTCGTTAGTTTGACAAACTCTGCATGTGAACTGGCCTTGTGGCCGCTTGGTTGTGCTCAGATTCTGTGGTGTCCTTGAGATCCACCCTGAGCTGTGCTTTGCTTTGTGCTCTTGCTTAACTGGTCTTGTGACCGCCTGTTGTGTTTGCTATCTCCCACTTAGCCTATAGGGGTGTGTCAAACTATATGTTTGTGTTCTCTCTAAGCTATAGTGGGTTAGCCTACAAGGGGTGCAACACTTTAGGGTTATCGTAATACTTCATTCATAGTGATTCTGACAATAGCTTCATCAATCTGCCTCGACTGCTACCACTATTTAAATCCCCGTTCTATGCACCAACCATGACCCAATCATCAATTTCATCGGATTCCACATTCCGAGCTCCAAGCATCCGCCTCTGAGCATCTGCCGGACTGCTGCGGGAGTGTGTTCCTTGCCCAGCCCGCAAAGGACCTCCCCGCAAAGTCTCACGTGACGTGAGAGCTACCCCGGCCCGTCGTTCCCGCGGGAACAAGTAGTCGCGGCGCAGCATTCGTCTCGTCTCTAGATGGCGCGGACCATCGGGATTGTTGGAATTGTGGGGGAGAGATTGCCCCCCACGCGAAGACCTCCCTTGACTCGGACCAAGGGAGGGTTCTTTCTCGGAATGAGGGGTGACGGCGGATTGCCCGCGTCGACACTCAACCAAGTTCGCCCCCGGTTGGGTCCGAATATTTGTGGGGGCGACACTTGGCAGCCCCACAAGCATGCACGAAAATTGCAAGAGTGCAAGCGAATGTTACGAACATTTCGCTACACTCGCTATTGTCCCTTGTAACACACGATTGTCGGCGTGAAGAAACGAACCCGGCAAAGTCCGAAATTGTGAACGCGGACGTCGCGGAAATTGGACGCGATCCTGAATCCGAATTTCCGGCGAGTCGCGCGCGGTTCGATGTTACAATTGTGCTTGCATGTTTTAGCTATAAAACCAGAGAGCAAATTCCAGAGAGTTAACTTCAACTCGTCACTTGTACCCATCCTTGCAATATAAGAAGTATCTCTTTCAATTCTCAGGCGATTACAGAGATTCAAAGTGCCACGGATTCCTTGCTCCGAGCCCGTCGGAACGATTCTAGTCTTGGCTCCGAACTCGCCAAGTAAAATCTGTGGCGTCACTAGGAGTGAGACGGTTTCCTTCAGGGATCGCCGCCGCTCGGCCCGTCGTAACGCCGACTCGGACTCGCCGCTTCTTGTCCCTGGCGGCTTCCGCCGCTGCGCTCCTGCTCCTCGCAACCGCCGCCCTGCCGGCGCTCGCGGATTCGACTCAAATGGCAGATGCAAGCTGTCGGGTTCTGAAAGCCGCCGCGCCCGTAGCGGCGCCCGCGCCCGTGACGGCACCTGCGCCGGCAGGGGCCGGGGCACCCGCGGTCTGCGCGCCACCGCCGCCACCGGCGCCGGTCGACCAGTATTACGATGACGACTACATGCAAGACTACACTCTCGAGCAAGTCATCGCAGCCGCGTCGCCTCAGGCTGCGCCCGGTGCGCCGCCTTCTCCGCCGCGATCTTTGCGGATGAAGGTTCCGTACACGATTAAATTCGGGGACGTGTCCAAGTCGTTCTACATTCTCAACTACCTCGCGAACTCGGTGTGCAAGTCCGATCGGGGAGGCAGCGCGGACCGCGCTCTACAACCTGATGTCGTTCCACACGGCAGCTTCGCAGGTTACGGTCTTGAATCTAGATAGCCAGATATGCTTGCGAAACCACTATCGGCCAGGTATGCTTGTGAACCACCATCGGTACGTTGGTGAAAAGAATTTTCGGAACGTGAGTGTATATGTTAGTATGTGTATCGGATGGTGTGCTGTGTGTCTCCCGCTCGATTCCCATTTGCTCCCACATGATGCTGTTGCATTAAGTGAAAGCTCATATTACAGTGACGCTGCTGCTGTTGCTGCTGTTGCTGCTACTTGTTTAGTAGCATGGTACCGACACTTAGTGCCCAGCGCACTTATTTTCTTCTGTTGCTCACACCCCGACCCTTAACTTACAGTGTACCGCCTCTGGCACTTCCTTCAAGACCGCGTTCAACAGCAACAATTTGAACTTTAAGTGCAACAGCTCCGACACTGGTTTCATTTCCGGCTCGGACCCCCTTGCATCTGGCGCAACTGCTGGTACTGCGTCTGCTGTGACAATGATCGACGAGCCGCAGAAGTATTATTTCTATGTCAACGCGGTTGTGTTCCCCAGCAACATCTCCTCCCTGCCTGGTACGCGTTTTGTTAATTCGCTATAAGTGAGAAGACTTGCATCATTATGTGAAGAGATATAAATTATCTCCCGCATATTTAACAATGGGCTTACCCTTCCCTGCATCAAGCACCGTGCCACGCATTCGATCATGCATGCAGCCACTCATCTACATGCCCCCGGGTTCTTATTTTTTGTTTCTCTCCTTTCTCCCCTTTCTCCTCACCTTCACTCCCATTTCTCCTCCCCCTCACTCCCGTTTCTCCTCCCCCTCACTCCCATTCATCCTCCCCCTCACTCTCATTCCTCATCCCCCTCACTCCCATTCCTCCTCCTCTCTCCCATTCCTCCTCCCTCCCAGTCCTCCTCTTCCTCTCTCCCAGTAGTCCTCTTTCTCTATCCCATTCCTCCTCTTCCTCTCTCCCATTCCTCCCTCCCTTCCTCCCCCTCACTCCATTCCCCCTCCCCCTCACTCCCATTTCTTCACCACCTGACTCCCATTTCTCCACCCCCTCACTCCCATTTCTTCACCCCCTCGCTCCCATTCCTCCCTCCCGCACCCCTTGTTTCCGATTGCCAGGTGCCGTTTGTCACTGTCTCGCATCTCTTCACTGCATTGCATAGCCACACATTCAGTGACCACCTTTCCACTATGCTTTCCTCTCCTTGTTCCCATTTCTCTTCCATGACAGGTGCCGTTGCCACTGTCTCGCGTCTCTTCACTGCTCTGCTGGTCCTCGCCTCTGTTTTTGCCTGTGCTCTCTAGTCCAGACTGCATGAGTCTAAAAACCCATCTCCCTTTCATTCCCATCTCTCTAACCCTCACTCTCATTCCCCTTGCTCTTCCATGACAGGTGCCGCTGCCACTGTCTCGCGTCTCTTCACTGCTCTGCTGGTCCTCACCTCTGCTCTTGCCTGCGCCCTCTAGACACCATGAGACTAGATACCCTCTCGCTCCACTGCCCACAAGTCTTGACGCCATGGGAAGAGGAAGCACATGTGCACTATGATCCATGTTGGATCCATTGTAAATCCTAGCCGTTGATTGTGCAATGTACAGTCTTTCCTTTATGGTTTTAATTATGAAATATATAATCAACAAGGCGTTGAGAAACAAAGTACAGTAATTAATACCTAGCTAAGAAACTGAGTCAAGGGTACAGTTCTAATGGCAATAACCATCCGCACAATATGCGACTGATTACCGCGCCAAACCAGGCTTCCAAACTTAAACACCCTGTTTGGCTTCCCCTTGGACCAAAACCGCACCGAAAACTTTTGCGTCTGCCCGGGATTGATTGTGAAGCTCATCGGATTGACATCTATTTTCACTCCACTGGGCCCCCTTATTATCGCCCTATATGTCTCTGGCACTTCATCTACATTCTTCACCACACGCCTTACCACCACGGGTCTCGAGAGCCGCGAGATGGAGATCGACGGACGGTTGAGATTGAACGCTTTCACCGGCCGGATTCCCCCGACACCCGGGAAATTCATCATGGTGTAAAAGTAGCTGCGCGCCGCGAGAAAATTTACGTAATCCTTGTAACCCACGTGAAAAGTAAGACCGGGGTTCAATACCCGCATGGGGTCAACATGACCCGACCCCATATCCCACGGGGTAGCTTCGACAGTTTTCCCAGTGCTCTTCTTGCCGGAGCTGGTGGTTCGTCGGATGGGGTTGCCGAGCTTGTTGGTGGTGTAGGCGGTTGTCATGATTGCAGATGCGATTTGGGCGGGCGACCAGTTTGGATGCTTCTGGATAATTAGGGCAGCAATGCCGGCCAGATGTGGGGTAGCCATAGAGGTTCCGGAAAGATAGCCGAATTTGGGTAGCTCGGAGGAAGAGGAGGGGGTGGTGGGGGTGGTGGTGGTGGAGGAAGATGACTGAGTTGACTCAGAGGACTGGGTTGAAAAGGAGGGTTTGAGGCCTCGAGAAGCAGCCCAGAGCTGGAAGCCAGGGCCGATGATGTCAGGCTTTAAGATGTCGTTGGAGGCGAGGAGGCGCGGGGTGACGGGGAAGGCGGGGTTGAGAGGCGGGCCCGTGGAGGAGAAGTAGGCCACTGATGGGGCTTCGTCTGAGAATGTGGTGAAGGGCGGCGAGAGAGAGGCTGTGGGGCTGGGAGGGATAGGGTGGATGGGAGGAGCGGGGAGGGAAGTGGGAAGAGAGAAACAGAAGAAAAAAGGTGGTTGGTTTTGCTTGTCCAACCTGCACAGACGCCGGGACCTCAGGGAGGTGGGAGGCGAGGAGGCGCGGGGTGAGTGGGAAGGCGGGGTTGAGGAGTGGTCCTGTGGAGGAGAAGTAGGTGACTGATGGGGCTTCGTCTGAGAACGTGGTGAAGGGCGGGGAGAGGGAGGCCGTGGGGCTGGGAGGGGAGGGAGGCGAGGGAGGGGAGGAGGGAGGAGGGGGGGGGGGGAGGGGAGGGGAGGGGAGGGGAGTGGGAGGAGAGAAACGGAAGAAAAGGAAGGTTAGCTGTGAGGGAACCATCTGGCCAGAGGCTGGAGTCCCCAGGGAGCTGGAAGGCGGGGTTGAGAGGTGGTGGAGGAGAAGTAGGCGACTGATGGGGCTTCGTCTGAGAATGTGGTGAAGGGCGGCGAGAGGGAGGCCGTGGGGCTGGGAGGGGGGGGGGAGTGGGGAAGGGAGAGAAGGAAGAAAGGAGGTTAGTGTTGCATCTACGAAGGCCAGGGCCTTCAGGGAGGTGGGAGAAGGGGGGAGGCGCGGGGTGATGGGAAAGGGGGGGTTGAGAGGCGGGCCCGTGGAGGAGAATGGGGCTTCGTCTGAGAATGTTGTGAAGGGCGGGGAGAGGGAGGCCGTGGGGCTGGGAGGGGCAAGAGAGGGAGGGGCAGAGAGGTGAAGGGAAAGTGAAAGAAGAAAGTCCCTCCCTCTCCCTTTCCATCGGCCTCTCCATCGACAGAGAGGTGAACAGCCGATGGAGAAGCCTAGGGTGTCCTAGGCTCTTGATGGGACAGCGTCTTTTGAGAGAAGTCTCAAAAGTCGAAGGAGAAGCGTCTGTTGATGAGACAGCGTTGAAGAATAGCCGCGTGATAAAAGCTGGGTTTTGAGACGTCTCACAACCCAGCTTTTATCACGCGGGAGGAAAGTCCCTAGGCCGATGGAGAAGCGGGCTGTTGATGGGACAGCGTTGACGAAAGATGTGCGGGGCAGAGACTTATGAGTCGACAAGTCAGCTCTTAGGCCGATGGAGAAGCAGGCTTCTGATGGGACAGCGTTGACGAAAGATGTGCGGGGGCAAGGCAGAGAGAGGAGACGGTGGGCAAGGTCGAGGGACATGAACCTTGTAGGATGCCTTGAGAAACTAGAAATAATAATAATAAGAATAATAATAATAATAATAATAATAATAATAATAATAAGAATAATAATAATAACAATGATGATAACGATATTAATAAATAGCCAAAATCCAAACATCTTGGAGAATTTTCACAACACGCTGCTCCACTCACTTGGTTGCCTTGCTGAGGTACTGCCGAACAGTCTCGGAATCCTCCGCATTCAAGTGAATAGCGGGGACGTCTGTATAGGGTACGCGGGACGGCGCCAGGGAGGAAGCGGAGGCAGAGAGCAGCAGCACGGCAGCGGCGCCGAGAGCAGCCGTGGTGGTGTCCCTCATTGCCTCTCGCACGTCCCTTGTCTTGAGGTTGCACACGAGCATACGGCCAGAGAGCTTGGACTTGTCGAGGCTTGAGGCGAAGCACTCTCGGGCCTGGGGTGGGGCGTAGAGAGCGGAGGCAAGCGGGGGAAGGGGGAAAAGGAAAAGGGAAACATGGCAGGGGAGGTTAGCGGAGGCGGAGAGCAGCAGCACGGCAGCGGCGGCGAGAGCTGTAGTGGTGGTGTTTCTCATTGCCTCCCTGACGTCTCTGGTCTGCAGGTTGCACTCGAGCATTCGCCCGGATAGCTTGGCCTTGTCGAGGCTTGAGGCGAAACACTCCCGGGCCTGCAGTAGGGGGTGGAAGGGGGAGGGAGGGAGAGAGGGAGAGGGGGAGGGGGGGAGGGTGGGAGGGAGAAAGATGATATGGAAGGTTAGCGGAGGCGAAGAGCAGCAGAGGCAATGTTGGTCATTGCCTCGCTCACGTCCCCTGTCCGCAGGCAGGTTGCACACTAGCATTCGCCTGGATAGCTTGGCCTTGTCCGGGCTTGAGGCAAAACACTCTCGTGCCTGGGGTGAGGGGAGGAGGGGGGAGGGGTTACGGGGGGAGAGGGTAAGAGGAGGTTCGCACTGGGATAAGAAGATGCAGCAAGAGCAGGGCAGCAGAGCAGCAGCACAGCAGGGGCACATCAAAGGGGGAGAGCAGCAGCACAGCAGAGGCACATCAAAGGGGGAGAGCAGCAGCACAGCAGAGGCAGAGAGCACAGCAAAGGCAGCGTATCTGTCATTGCCTCCCGCACGTCCCTGGCTTTAAGAGCACGAGAGGCAGGTCCCCGTGCGTTGCCCGTGCTGCCAACACCATTCAAGTTTCAACCCAACACCTACCTGCCTTCCTAAATCGACCAATTTCCCCACCCACCCACCAGGCTCAGCGTTCCCAGGGGGTGCACAGCAGCGGAGGAGAGCACGAGAGGCAGGACCCTGGCGTCCCCAATGCCTTTGACCATATCCCTTTCAGGCAGCACCCACCTACGTCCGCCCAAATACGCCAGCACCCACCCACCCACCCACCAGGCTCAGCGTCCCCAGGGGATGCACAGCAGCAGAGGAGAGCACGAGGGGGAGGTCCCTCGCGTTGCCTGCGCTGCCAAAGCCCAGCCCTGTGAGCTGCACTCCGTTGCCCAGGGTGAGGTTGGCTTGATAGTCACGACCAATGGTGCTGGTGGCGGGAGGGGGAGGGGAAAGAGTGGGAAGGGCGGGGAAGAAGGGAAGGACTTGAGTGGGAGACTGTTGACAGCCCAGCCCCGTGAGCTGCATTCCGTTGCCCAGGGTGATGTTGGCTTGATACTCACGGCCGATGGTGCTGGTGGGGGCATGTGGGGGAGATGGGGGGGATGAGGGGGATGGGAGACACAATGTGATCGAAGGAGGAAGGAATATGAGTGGGACATCAAATCCCAGCCCTGTGAGCTGCACTCCGTTGGCCAGGGTTAGGTTGGCTCCGTTGCACACCTGATGGTGCTGGTGAGAGAAAGGGGAGGGGGAGGACGAGGATGAGGAGATCAAGGAAGGGAGGGACACGAACAGTAAAAAACAATCAAGTCAATTCAAGTCAACCCGAGTCAATTCAAGTCAACCCGAGTCAATTCAAGTCAACCCGAGTCAATTCAAGTCAACCCGAGTCAATTCAAGTCAACCCGAGTCAATTCAAGTCAACCCGAGTCAATTCAAGTCAACCCGAGTCAATTCAAGTCAACCCGAGTCAATTCAAGTCAACCCGAGTCAATTCAAGTCTTACCTGGCCCCCACAGTGAGATAGAAGGGCGCCGTGTTGCTGAGAGTGCCAATCATCTGCCCCTTGGATGGTGCTCCGCTGTTCCCCGCTGCAAAGGCGATGAACACCCCCGCCTGGAGAGGGACCAGGGAATGGAGGGTGGTGGTGGGAGAGAGAGGGTGTAAGCAGTGCAGCAGCAGCAGCAGCAGCAGCAGCAGCAGCAGCAGCAGCAGTAGAGAAATGCGGTAAACACCAGCAGGTGCCTCCCAACCAGCCTCCCATCCACCCACCCTCCACACCGACACACCTTGAGCGCTTGCAGGTACGGCAGGTCGTTGAAATACCGCGAGATGGCCCCGCCAAACGAGCACGAGAGCACATCCACGCCGTCGGATACGGCCGCATCAACGGCTGCGCGGATGTCTGACTGAAACGCCCCCGCCTCCCCCGCGGGTGTGACCCAGAGCGCTTTGTAGGTGGCTAGGCGGGCCCGGGGAGCGACGCCAGAGATAGAGCCGAGGGTGCGCGTGGGGGAGAGGGTGAGAGGCACGTTGGCGTTGCCTGCTGCTGCGCTGTGGGTTGTGGGAGTGGGTGAGAGGGGAGGGAGTAGAGAACGAAAGGGTTGAGAGTTGAGAGAACGGCGGCATCAATGGCTGCGCGGATGTCTGACTGGAATGTTCTCCCCCGCCGCTGACTTGCGCACGCCCGCCGCGAAGCAACGCCTGTAACAACCAACCGCACCCCACTCACATTCTAACCACACACTCACTCGCCCGCCCGCCAATCCACGCACGTGCCGTGCCCATCGCCATCCCGCGGTGACAGAAAGTCCTTCGCCTTGTTTACTCCCGCCGACGACTTGCGCACGCCCGCACCCAGCCACCCCACACCCACCGACTGACCCCACACATTCCAACCCACCCACCCCCCACCCTCCCCCCACCCACCCACGCACCTGGCACACCACGTGCCATGCCCGTCTCCGTCGCGCGGGGAGAGAAAGTCCTTCTCCTTGTTGACTCCCGCCGACGACTTGCGCACGCCCGCACCCACTCACACCCACTGACCCCACTCACCTTCTAATCCACGCACACATCAGTGCCCCACGAACCCACTAACCCGCACCCCACCCACCCACGCACGCACGCACCTGGCACACCACGTGCCGTGCTTGTCCCCGTCGCGAGGCGACAGAAAGTCCGTCTTCTTGTCCACCCCAGCCGACGACTTGCTCACCCCCGCCGCGAAGCATGGCCATACCGCCCGCATCGCACCCCCCCACCCCCCGCCCACCCACCCACGCACCTGGCACACCACGTGCCATGCCCGTCCCCGTCGCGCGGCGACATAAAGTCCTTCTCCTTGTTTACTCCCGCCGACGACTTGCGCACGCCCGCCGCGAAGAACCGAGCGCCGATGAGCTTGCGCGAGCAGAGCGACTGGGGGAAGTCCCGAGTCGCCTGGCATTTTCCGCGCCACCTGCGGGGTACAGGGCCGTACGGATTGGCCGGCTGGGGGAGAGGGGGGGGGGGGGGGGGGAGGAAATGAAGGAGGGGGAAGGGACGGGTTGGGGGCGGGGAGGGTTTGGGAGCGGAGGAAGAAGAAAGAGCTCCTGAATACTGCGAGAGGGAGAAGGAAGAGCTCCCCGCACCATACTGCTTCTCTACGTGCTCACGCATTGTGATTGTGGGAATTGTGGGGGTTCTCACTGTGTGTTAGCGAATGACGGGTGTTCCGGCCACACGCCGGTGCAAATCACACCCTTTCCACTTCGATACTGCTGAGACGCTACCCGCTAACATATTGTGCTAATAATTCGCTTTCAACACTTACTGTATTAGCGAAAGACGGGTGTTCCGGCCACACGCCAGTGTCAATCACTCCCACAATCACCCCCTCCCCCGCGTTATCCTGCCCGCCATTCGCCGCCCACAGGGACCCGGGCAGCCTAAGAAACCCCGGCGAATCAGTCATCAGTTTTCTCCTCCTCACGCTGCCCGCCTGCCCGCCCTCCTGCCCGCCCCCCGCGTCCTCGGGCAGCCGAGAAAAAGTATCCGGGCCGCGAAAACTAGTGCTACTAGTTAGCGCGGGTAGGTATTCGTCCTCCTCCACCGCCGCTACAGCGGGGTGAAGCTTTAATCTCCTCGCCTCCGCTGACGTCAGCGAGGCGGCAAAGCCGTTGGAGGTGTAAGTGTAACTGCGCGGGAGAGGCGCGGGGAGAGGAGGCAAACGGGGAAAGCAAAAGCGGTAAGGTAGGGGAGAGAGTGAGGGGGAGGGGGCGGGGGAGAGGACGCAAACGGGGAATGCAGAGGGGGCAAATCAGGAAAAGGGCAAAGGGGAACGCGGAAGATGCAGACGAGGGGAGATGGAGGAATCGGGAATGGGAGAGAGTAAAGGCGAGGGGGAGAAGGGGCGCGCGGAATGGGAGATTCGCATTGCACGGGGAAGCGAGAAGAGTACTGAGAGAGATGCGCGCAACTTCCATTCCCCCCCACTGCCTTCACCAAACTCCCCCCTTTCCCCCTATTCCCACCGCCCTCCTTCGCTCACCTTGGGATGTGCTCCTTTACAAGCACATTCACTACCAGCCACACACCTCTGGTAAATCGCGCGGCTCGGGATGTCGAGTGTCGCCAGCAGCTGCCTGTGCGACTGCTTCAGGAATCGCACGAACGATCGCACGTGCGGCATACGGACATCAGGGCGCGTCAATCGAGGAATTCGCGATTTCCCTTCGCTTATTGACAAATTTATATTTCCCTTTACCCCGCCTGTAGCCTGCACACTCACACTCCCCTCCAGCCATTCCTGATTGTTGCTTTCCCCTTGAACAGCCGTAGAAGTCGCCGCTTCGTTATAACCAGATCCATTAACGATAGAAGAGCTGGAATTAGTGTTGTTCCCCGAAGGAGTTAGAAGCCCTTCCCCTCCCACTACCCCCTCTCCTTCGCCCTCCCCTTCCCCCTCTCCCTCTCCTTCCGCTTCATCATCCTCGTTATCAGGCAACGCGGTAGCAGACAAGCCGGGCAGCCCACCACGGTACGACAACACGGGTGGCACGGACGCTAGAGTCACAATATACTGTTTCCGAAAAGCGCTTCTACTACTAACGAGGATAGGCGCGACTCGAGCTGTCCGATTTCCGACTACTTCCCCCGCCGACACGCCTACAGCTGAGTCTCGAGTCGCGTCGAAAGACGGTGCTCCTGCAGCAGCCGCGCGAACTACTGGCGAGAGTGACAATAACGAGGTCCACGTCAGCATGCAGACTACCGTTATCAGCGCCGCCGATCTTCCGCGATACCAGCTCCTACTAGTTGCGGAAAGCCGCATTCGCCGGTGCGCGGCGCGGGGTGTCCGCTTCTGAGGCGCCTCCGAAATCGAAGCGCGTGTCGTGGACGAATGGGAAAGAGCCATCGCGGGATGAAATCGCGGGAGCGCGCGGGAGGCAACAGCTTGTTTTCTTCTAGTCGAATCTTTGACTAGCGCGCGTCTCGTAGTCGAATTCGTATTATCAAGTCGTCGACGAAGCTTCTCGAGAGGCCCACTCCGTGAGGAGCATAAACGCCGCATTATGCGTTTGAGTGGTGTTCGCGCGGTGCGGGGGATTCTAGTTCGAGTAAGAAACGAAGTCGCATTATGTAGCTCGTGGCGTAAGTGCCGTCTACGAGGTGAGAAAACATGCCGCTTTCTAGAAACGGAGCCCTGAGTTCGGCGAGTGGCAGCAGCAGCCTTGTTTATTGCGGGAGTCCGGCGTCGGCATGCGACGAGCGTGCGACGTTGTGCTGCGACGTTGTCGTCCGAGCATGTTCGCGAGCGAGGTGTCATTTTCTGCAATTCTCTAGAAGCCATTCCCGAATAGCGTGTTCTAGAAGCTCGAATCTTGAGATGCGTCAAAAGCCGTCTCTTTCCTGAATCGCGCATGCTAAGGTCGAGTGACTCGCAATGAGTGCCATTGGATGTAAACATAATAGCCTGGTCGTTATATCTCGTTTCAGCGGGTCAAGCCAACGAACAGGATAAACAATCCCTTTTTCGGCAATTAGGATAAGGCGACTCGCATCACAATGCTCACGAGAACCCAACTGTGGTTGTAGAGAATTCAAGCGAACGACCATCATCGGTCCATTGCCCCCTAATTGCCAGGCCGCAGGTAACCAGCCAAGTAATCAGCCCTGGTTCTTATCACGGCTCCCCTTCATCAGCAATTGCAGCACGCGCCTCGTGAAGAATTGAGATTTGCTCTGATGGCAGCTGTACATTCGAAGGTGATGGGATTGACGAGCCGCTCACACGAGACCCCATTCTTAATTGATGAATCAGGGGCACGAGACGTACTTCAGCGTAATGTTTTGTAGTGGAGCAAAGAAACCGATTGTTCGAACTGCAACCGGAACTCGGGAGGGATCCTGACTTCCACAACAAACACGACCTACGAGAAGGGAGCTGAATGAGTGCGGTGCGTTACGTGGGGCAAGTGATTGGGTTATCATCGCCAGTCCCGGTGTTCACAAGTTCGTGCGTGCGCCAGCCCACAGAGCCATCCCCAACACCTCTGATCTTGTTCCATTAACGAAAGTGCTTACTGTGCTGCTCCCTCTGTCTTGGAGTGCAGCCCAGTCACATAAGCGGACAAAGCTCTGTACTTGTTATGAGTTGCAGAACAGAGTTGATTGGAAAACAAATAAATAACTGTTACATTATGGACTGAGGATATGTTACGGGTGCAATGAATCGAGGTGGCGAGGATTGCACTAGAGTGTTCAATGAGTACAAAACATGAGCGAAGGCATGAGAGAATTCTTATACGCGAAAATTGCAAACGGTAACGCGGTGCGTGCGAGCTAGCTAGTGCTACGCTGGCGCGAGGTTCGGGCTAGTCCCGAAGCGTAGGCCGACTTGGCTGCTCCAGCAGTGCGATGTTTGGTGAAACTGTCATAGGTCCACTGGTGATCCCCGATAGATCCTAGGGAAGGGTTACAGGCTCGTTGTCCTGGGGGGTTATGGGCACACTAACCCGCTACTAACCAAGCCCTTTTATCCCAGTGGTCTAGTGACTGGGATTCTGACATGGTATCAGAGCGAAGGTCTCGGGTTCGAATCCCAGTGTGTGCACTTCGGGCATCCCAGTGCGGGGGGGTGTCAGAGGTCCACTGGTGATCCCTGATAGATCCTAGGGAAGGGTTACAGGCTCGTTGTCCTAGGGGGTTATGGGCGCACTGACCCGCTACTTAACAAGCCCTTTTATCCCAGTGGTCTAGTGACTGGGATTCTGACAGAAACAGTGCGCGCGAAGTTGGCGAAGCCCCGTTAGCAGTAATGGGCAAACAACGGCTGCTGCTGTACGCGATGTGGACGGTCGCGGTAAGGAATAGCGAGAAAAATCCTCACACTACCCCCCCCCCCCCTCAAGAAGCCCCCTCCGCTACGCGAGTGCGTGCATATCGCGGAAACCCCGGCTCCTCATGTACACTTGCAAGGGAGAGTGGTTTTCGATGTTGGTCACGGGCACCCAGCTATCCTCAGTTGGCGTGCGGTCCTTCCAGCGAACGAGGAACTCGATCCTCTTGATGCCTGTGGGGTGGCGAATCCGATGGCTCTAGATTTTTTCGGGCTCGATGATCGGCTCTGATGCAGGGCGAGTCATGGATGGCGGGCGGTGACGAGGCAGTTGGCTCGTGCTTGGGATGTAAGGGCGAAGCAGGCTGACGTGGAATGATGGGCTGATGTACCAGTCTGTCGGCAACAGTAAGTGGGCGGTAACTGGGGTGGTCATGTGGCTGATGTCAGATTTATATGACAGAGCTACTGTAGGCTATAGGGGGGTAGCACATATGGGGTACAGTTTTCTAGGGTTTGCATTTGTACCCAACTTTCCCTTATTCATTCCTCGTTTCTTCTCATGGTATCGAGCAGGTTCCCTAGTGGGAACGATTCCTAGGGCCCACCACCACGAAATTTTTTTTCCTGCCCGGAGCGCGCTTCGCTCAGGCCCGAGTCGCGCCCTGTGTGCTCCCCCTACCGTCGCGCCCTCGCTAGGCCCCTCACGGCCCCGTCGCGTCGCCCTTAGCGGCCCCCTCACGGCTCGTCGCGCCGCCCCTTACGGCCCTTCGTGCCGCCCTTACGGCCCGTCGCGCCGCCCTTACGGCCCCTCGTGCCGCCCCTTACGGCCCCTCGCGCCGTCCCTTACGGCCCCTCGCGCGGCCCCTTACGCCCCTTACGGCCCCTCTCGCGGCCCCTCACGGCCCCCTACGGCTCGTCGCCGCCCTCCGCGGCCCCGCCACCTACCTGTGCGGCCCCGCCACCTACCTGTGCGGCCCCGCCACCTACCTGCGGCCCCGCCACCTACTAGCGGCCCCGCCACCTACCTGCGGCCCCGCCACCTACCAGTGGCCCCGCCACCTACCCGCGGCCCCGCCACCTACCTGTGCTGGCCCCGCCACCTACCTGCGGCCCCGCCACCTACCAGCGGCCCCGCCACCTACCTGCGGCCCCGCCACCTACTAGCGGCCCCGCCACCTACCTGCGGCCCCGCCGCCTCCTCTCAGCGGCCTCGCCGCCTCCTCCCAGCGGCCCCGGACGCCGCCCTCTCAGCGGCCCCGCCGCGCCGCCAAGTAGCCGAGCCGCCCAGCCGCCGAGCCGCCCAGCAGCCGAGCAGCCCAGAAGCCGAGCCGCCGAGCCGCCCAGCAACCGAGCCGCCGAGCCGCCCAGCAGCCGAGCCGCCGAGCCGCCCTGCAGCCGAGCCACCCGAGCCGCCCTGTCCGGTAAGAGCAGCGCCTCTTTCACAGCACTGCCCTCACCCTATTGTTTGCGCTGCTAGTCTACTGCTGTCATGGCTACCCCTAGTGTCCTCGCTTTTGACGCTGAGGGTCGGGCCATTGACTTTGACGTCTGGATAGATGACCTGCAGCTTTTCTTACAGTGCGACAGAGCAGACGGCCTCTCCCTCTTTGACCTCACTTCTGGTGCCTCCCCTGCCCCCGCTGCTGATGCTGACGCCACTGTTCGCTCACAGTGGGCCACGCGCGATGCTGCTGCACGTCTTGCTGTGCGTCGCCACCTGCCTACCTCTGAGCGTGCGCACTTTAGCCAGTACAAGAGTGCTCACACCTTGTACGACGCTGTAGTTGCGCGCTACTCCTCCCCTGCCACTGCTGCACTGAGCCGCCTCATGCTACCGTACCTCTTCCCTGACCTTGCTGCCTTTCCCACAGTCGCTGACCTCATTACGCACCTCCGCACTAGTGACACTCGCTACCGCGCTGCGCTTCCTGCTGAGTTCTGCGCCAAGAACCCCCCCCCCATGTACATCACCCTCTACTACATAGTCACCCGGCTCCCTGACTCCCTTCGCGTAGTCAGGGACCACTTCCTCTCAGTTTGCCCCACCACTCTCACCGTTGACCTCCTCGAGAAGTCCCTCCTAGCAGCAGAGAAGAGCATAGTCGCTGTAGGAGCCTCTCGTGGTGACCCTCGCACCCCCATCTTTGAGGGGTGTTCCCCCTCCCCCCTTTTGCCCTCTGTTGCCTCTGCTGCTGCGGCCGACCTCGTTGGGCTTGAGTCGGTCGGTGCGGCGTCTACCCCTAGCGGGAGACGCCGCCCTGGCAAGGGCAAGGGGGGCAGGGGCACTGGAGGAGCTAGCGGGGGCGGTGGAGGCGGCGGTGGAGGCAGTGGAGGGGGTGGGGGTGGCG